ATAAGTAAATTTACAGTTTATGTGTAAGTTTGTACGCGTGCAGGGAAAATTGTTGTGTTGCCAAGGAATTCCACCGATTTTTGCACCAGATAGATCTCTGGTGTGGCGCACAGACGCCTAAAACCCCATTAACGAACGACAGGCCTCCCCACCACCACATCGACAACCTCACCGGGCCCGGCCATGGATCTGGCATTCGGCTTCGCTCTAATCGGCTATGGCTTGTTGAAGCGTCGCTGGAAACCCAAAACCCCCATCTCCATAAACGAACCATATCTCCTCAACATCCCTCCCGAGATCAGGCTAGTTCTATACGACTTCCTCTTCATCCAAGAGAGGCACGAGCGTGCATGCAATTTCCTCGTGCCACTCCTCACCTGCCGATTGATATACGAGGAGGCTAATCCTCTAGCATTCACTCGCACCAATTTCATTCTCCCGCTCCGGAGGAGCTTTGCAGCCCCCCCCGAGTTCTATAAAGATGGCCCGTTCCTCAGTCCCCCAATCTTGAAGCTCTCAGCGTCAAAGCTCGACCTTGTCCGCAATATCACCCTCCTCTGGAACTTCCCCTCTCTCGAGCTCCGGTCTCTAAGCCGTCTGTTTTCGGAGCTAGCGCTTTCCCCGGTTCATCTCAAGCAGCTAACCTTCATCATCACGGATCCTAAATGTCTATCTCCATTTCAATACAAGTACTCTCCTCTGTTCCCCGAGATTCGAGACTTTGCAAAGTATGTGATGGAGGACTTGCCGTTTATGCAAAATGTGGAAAAGATTGTGTTTATCAGTCCCGGTATAGACAACAAAAAGAACTTCCAGCACTTGTTTGACCCGGAAAAGCCCGCGATAAGGGTAGGGAGTGATGACCAAGGGCATTTTGTGGTAGACGTGCAATCGAAAAGGCTTGGTGGATGGAAATACGCGGTGGTGAGGGCAGGGAAGGAAGTCACGAAGTGGAGACTCGAATTGACGCATCCAGATTAAGACGGGCCTTTGAGCGCGCAAGAGGCAAGCAAGGCAAGCGAATTGTGATAGTGCCGAGATAGGTGTGGGTATGTGTGTTAAGAATAGAAGGACGTGTTCGGTATGGAAGGGTGTGTTGTGCTGCATTTTGCCATATAAACCGGACATAGGTCTAATTTGAGGCAGAGCTCTGCTTCATATTAGTACTTCCCTTAATTCCAATGACCAGCTCAACAGATTCAAAGCAACCCTAGATATCTTCCAGAATGGGCGCTAATACGCTATATGAAAAGAACGGGGGTCTGTAGGGAAAGGAGAAGAGTGTATTTTCGCCTCTTCACAACTCGAAAACTCCTTAACTTCGCTCCGCCAGTCCGATTCAGGGTCCCAGGATCTCGGCTAACACAAGCTTGCACACAAGCTTTGCTCCCAGCCTACTTTCTCCTTTAATCTGCGAGGCCTCAAACCCGTACACCACTTCCGAGCTTGAGGTTCCAGCTCCGACCCTTCCATTGTGTTTAACGTGCGTGCGATTTGAGCGCCGTCCAGGTCCAGAATATCAATAATGTCCACGCATACTATGGTATCGAGTAGTATCCTAATCTCCTCGAGGGCCTCTACATCATGCTGCTCCTCTTCCCGTAAGTCTTAAGCATATCATCCTCAATTACCAGGGTGAGTGTTCTAAGATGGACACCGGGACATGTAGATTGAGTCGTGATAGGAATCCAGAAGATTTCCTGCATGTTTCTGACGGGGATCTTGACGCGTGTGAAGCGATTTCTCATCCGGGGTTCCAACTTTCTCCAGAACTTGACGAATTTGATGACCCATCGGAAGCGGACGAGCATGTGCGCGAGTGCAGTTGGATAGCATTCTAAATACACTTGTTAGAGACGCGAAGCAGCGCTAGTAAGTACGGTGACTTCATCGTCATGCCCCAGAACACATATTCGTAGATTCGGAGTCTGATCTCAGCCGGGAGGACAAGAAGGCGCCTTGAGGGCTCCAAGATGCGAAGCGCCTGATTTCTGAGTCGGGTGTGAAGTCGGGAAGCCTTGTTTGAGTGTTCCATTGGTAGATGACCATGCTCTGCTATCCAGTGGTTAGGTAATAATCATTGGGTCGTCGATGTATCGTCAACTTATAGGCGCCGACGCACCGTTGCCTGATACGCGGAATGTGAAAATGCTCTTCATGCAAGGATCCCAGTCTGGGATTTGCGCCCTTGTGGCCGTGGTCAACTCTACGACCACGGCTCCGACGTCATGAAGGTAGAACCACCAATCATTAACCAAAGGTTGAGCAAGGAGAGATGTCAATCCCCTCCATGCTTGCTTCTTCCCTTGGCGAGAAATTTTGCTGGGGCCCCGCATTGCGCAACGACATCTAGCCACTTCCATGACAGCCATCCAGATCCCGCCCCCTCTTTCCCAATTTTTTGAACGGTGGAGAGGAGAATAAATATCAAGACAGCGAGTACTGGCTTGCTCTTTATGAAACCGCCTGCCACATCGCTTCTGCCGATACCGACATCATAATGTAGCGCCCACGATATCGACGTCGCTAATTCTCAAATACTGATTTGCGAGGAAGTTGACTCTCAGCTCCTCCAGCCACTCCAGGTCCACGATGATTTGAAGCTGAAGACTCGTCAATGTCAACCGCTTTCGTGTGAAGGGAAAGCACGAACTACCAAATCACAACTACAGCCTTGAGCCCTCCAAACTCTATTCGGATGCGCTGAGACGCAGGTACGGTCATCTGACTCGGAATCGCCAGGGGCTCAGTACTTGATATTTTCACGTGGCGGGTCTGCGTCAGGCTTGGCTAGCCAATGACAAATTTAGATTTGAAAACTGGAGGGTTCGAGGTCCCTTCGCTATTGATACGATATCCCGCCTGGATGGAAAGATATAGAACTGGTAATTTTGTAGCATCGAGAAGTGTGCAGGACGCTGCAGGGTCGATCAATCAAGAGCACGGATGGAATGTCGTCGATCATCTGAGTGAATGAGATACGCCCTTTACCGCTTCAAGTTAGTTTAACCGGGAGAATAACCATCGGTCCTCTTTGTCGCCTCATATTTTCTCTTACGTGATTTAGACCCTCTTGTTTTCACGCTTTCGCCCACTGTTAGGTAACTTTTACGGTGCGCACCTCTCATGATGTCAGCGACTAGAGCCCGATTCTTCTTTGAAATCACAGGAACTCAAACGCTGATAGTAGTCATCACAGCCATGTGTTGTGTACGGGACCCAAATCTTTCATATTCGATTCCCCATAGTTCTCTTCATACTGGGTAACATTTTGTGTCGCCACATTATGTTCAACCTTGCCTGTGATTGTTGAGGATCGAGCTCTTTCTTTACGGTCTTCCCTGCGATTTACATCCCCCTTCGTAATCAGACTATCATGGTAGTTTTCCATCTCTTAATACAAGTTACCCCTTCGCCTCCCCTGAATCCCTGTTAGCTCTGTAGCCTTGGAAAGCAAGACATTCGATATTCCAATCAGATGAGGAAGCAGGGGCTATCACATCAAGCCTCCCCTTGATTGGCAAGTACCCTCCCGCAGCATCATTCGAGAAGCTATTTGAGCCTTATAACCATTCCAGTCACACCCAGATATCCCCAGTGCCTTCCGTGTTGTCCCTTCACTACCCAGCTGCCTCGTTTCCTTTGTCATACCTTCCACCACATCTGTATTATTCCCCGTTTCTACCCCATCTCACTCATTGCTTCCGCGTTACCGCTATGGGAAATCCGCTATACCACTGGAGCCCACAATTGGCGTCTTCAATTCAGAACTGGAATTGGGAAGTGCAAGACGAGTGGAACCAGTCCCAACGGCAACTATTTACATACAATGGACGGTTTGAGCACATACCTCTACCCGGAGATAGCATGCGGACTGATACCAACAATCATGCCCTTATTGACTGGGATGGACCAGATGACCCACTGAATCCGTATGTCTCCAGTCCTACTTCTTGAAAGCAAACTTGCTGACCTGTGCAGTTTCAACTGGCCGGTGTGCAAGAAGTGGAGAGTCACGATTCTTGCCTGTTTCATGCTAGTGCCCGCTATTTCACTTAAATGAAATTGGATTCTGACTTGTCCAGGACTTTCGTCGTTCAGATCAACGGCACAGCCATGACCAGTGCAGCGATGCAAATTAACGACACATTTCACATTAGCGACGAGCACTTTCCACACTCGTACTGGCCTGTACTCTCCTGGAACCTCGGTGGAGCTGCTGCGCCTCTCTTTGCCCTACCACTCATGGAGCACTTTGGTGTTCGACGGAGTTATCTTGTAGGCCCCGGCTTCTTAGCAGACCTACTACCTGCAAAAGCTAATCCTTCTTTAAGGTCATTTATATATTTCTCATCATATTTAACATCCCACAAGCTTTCGCTCAAAATTTCGCAACACTCATTATTACTCGAATCATCACTGGTGGCTGCTCTGGGGTGCTCGCCAACATCACCGGTGGCATTGTTAGCGACATCTGGAGAGATAGTAGGAGTAAGAGCTTTAGTATTTCTCTTTTCATTTGGGGCTTGCTAGCTGGTCTGAGCATGGGCCCTGTAATCGGAAGTATCGTTGTGCAGTATGCTTCTTGGAGATGGTAGGTACCGCACATAAACCCTAGCCAGATAATCTGACAGAGTCGCAGGATATTCTTCTCCCAGATCATTCTCTACAGCATATTTGCTCCCGTCCTCCTCCTTCTCCCCGAAGTCCGACCCGACGTGATCCTCAGTCGTCGCGCAGCACAAGTCCGAAACAGCGCTGGGAAACTAGTTTATACTAATTCGGAGAGGACCCGCACTAGCCCCAAAGAAATTCTCAAGGAAACAATTGTTCGTCCAACACGTATGCTTATCACCGAACCCGTCGTTCTCTCTTTCGGGCTCTGGTCAGCATTCTGCATCGGCACAGCCTTCATGTTTACGCAGAGCATCACACAAGTTTACACTTCTCTCTATTCGTGGTCATTCTTTGGTACGGGGATAGTTCAATCTGCAGTTGTTGTTGGAGAACTAATTGGGCTTGTTGCTTCCATCTATCAAGATAAACTGTACTTCCGCTCTTCCATCGAGAATACGGAGAAGCCTGGTCGTCCGATTCCGGAAGCAAGACTCTATCTCAGCATACCTGGATCTTTTGTAGGGCTTGCCGCGGGACTATTCTGGTACGCATGGACCTCCTATTCTACGCTCCACTGGATCATTCCCACCATCGGCCTAGGCTTCGTTGGTTTTGGTATGTTTTGTGTTGTCACAGCAGTAACGGGATACATCATGGATGCATATTCAAAATATGCTGCGAGTGCAATTGCGGGGGTGGCTTTCTTGGAGAATTTCTTTGCCGCCTTCCTTCCTTTGGCTACACAAGGCATGTATAGCAATCTTGGCTTCCAGTGGTCAAGCAGTCTACTCGGGTTCCTGGCATTGATCCTCAGTTTTATTCCTCTAGTCCTGCAGAGCTACGGGAGGGTTATTAGGGATAGGAGTCCTTTTATGAGAGATGCAGCTCATGCTATCTCATAATAAGGGTAGTTGCATGGTATGTGTATCTTAGTTACTAGTCTTCTAAGAGTCTCAGCATCTCCCAAACCCTTCCACATTCCCTGTTTTCGCCCGCTCGTACAGCTTCTTTACAGATAGCTCTCCCTCGTCCCCTTCTCTGCACTCCTATAAATCGCCTCAACCATTCTATGCCTCACAACTGCATCCTCAAATGTAGTCACAGTATACCCTTTCTCTAACCCTTTTCCTGCCCAGGCATCCCAAGCTCTGCCGACATTAAACGAGAAATCGCCCTTATCCCAATCCCCTGCCTTCTCCACTTCCACATTCTCTTCCTTCCCTTCAATATCGAAGAATTTCAGCGTGGGCTGAAACATCTGCACATGCCCCATTGTAGGCGCCTTCCCTTCCAAAACCAAAGACCCATGCACCCCATTAATCTCCCAATGGAACGAGCGCCCAGTTCGTGACTGCCCGCCCGCATAAACCACATCCACAACCCCACCCCCATTCACCAATGTCCCAGTAACACTCACATGATCATGAGCCGTCTTCTTTACTTTTCTAACCTCCTTCCCATCGTTACCTACAAGACTCAACTCTGGCCGGAGATTCGCCAACGTTGCGCTCAACTCCGCAAATTCACCCAGCACGAAGCACAAAGCATCGACAGCGTGTCCAAACGGAATGGTAAGAATATTCGCACCATTTTCTACCGGCAGTGCATATTCAAAGTCTGGGACAATGGTCGATCCGAAGATGGCGCCATGGCCGTACATACTCGTACCCAAGATCCTGCCAAGTTTCCCAGACTCGACGATTTTCTTAGCAGCAATAATAGTGGGGTTGTTGCGGGCTTGGAGTCCGACGAGAGTTCTCACACCCTTTTCTTTCGCGATCGCGGTCAGTTCTTCGGCGTCAGCGAGATTGCGCGCGAGAGGCCATTCTACGAAAAGGTCTTTTCCGGCGAAGAGAGCGGGTCTGATGCTTTCGTAATGGCCAGGCACGTTTACAGAGACGGCGACGATAGAGACGGAAGGGTCAGTTGCAAGAGCGGCTGGGTTGTCGTAGGTGTGTACGTGGGTGAGGGAGTAGGTAGACGCGGCGGCTTCAGCAGCGGATTTGGAGCTGTTTTGGAGAGCGGTTATTTTGTAAAAGGGTGTGGATTGGAGGTAAGAGAGATGGGAGCGGGAGGCCCATGAGCTGAGGTGTTATTAGGAGAGGGTGGGTGAAGTGGGATGGGGATGGGGAAGTACCCTTTTGCTGAGAGGCCAATTAAGCCTATTGATTTCGGGGGTGACGCCATGATATCTACCTATGCTTTGGTTCTTTCGCGGGTTTTTAATTCAGTTTCTAAAAGGAGAATAACTGCCCCGTAGCTTCAGTCTTTCGGAGAATGATGAAGAGCACGCGACTGGACTAAGACAATCAGAACCAGAGGAGAAGGCTCGAGGGAGAGCTTATATAACTTCGTTCAATCCTCAAGGATCTAAGTCTAATATGCAAGCCCAAAGCATCTCACACATTTGTAGCTTCATTCTGACAAATCGACTTCCTGACAATAACAGGTATGGTGCTGCAGCTTCACCAACTCTCAACCAATGACGTAAGAGTTCTCACCTCACGCCCCTCGATAGAATTGCACATGCGTCGATTTTTCCATCAACCCTGTTGTTTATCTGTCCGCTTTTTGATGCTATTTCCATTCCCGAGCATAAAGCAATTGCAGTTCAGTTCATAATTAGTCCGGGCAATGCTTTAGGTTCTGTTCGTCCAGCTGAGAAGATGAATGTATTTGTAAGCAATCTTCTTGCTTCGTCGATCTCATGATCATGGGATGATCTTTCTGTAATTTGATTTGTAAGGCATGACAGACTAGAGGGAGGGATTTCTATTACAGTAGGGTCCGCCATGGAGGCAGAGAAGCCACTAGCTGTATGGGAATAACGGCTCGGGTTGGATCAAGATGTTTGGAAGGGGGAATCGTTTGAGAGCATTTGCTTCCTTAATTAAAAAGGCAATATCTTCTTACTATCTACCGGTAATCTAGATTAGTCTAGCAGTGTTTAGAATAAGGGCTTGGGAGTAATCTGTCTAGTCACTAAAACATAGCAAGGGTCGCAACCCTTATTAGTTATTTTAGTACCGGACCAAACTAGGTAAAGGCATTTTGCTACATGTGGTAGGCTAGAAAGGGGGGGTCCAATCTTTTGAGATAGGATTACGATTTTTTTACATCTGTAGGATGGAAGAGAAGATAGATTCTGCAAAAAAAACTTATATTAAAGGCATCTTCAAACAGTAGATAGATATATTGGCAAGGATTTAAGAGGCGGTTTCCATACGAATATGCCTTCCTGTCGCACCAAAAAATTGACAACCTACCTGAGGCGATCGTGAAGTCTGGCCAGCTCTCTTACGAGCACTATTGCCTTCACAAATACTATAAGAAAACGAAGAATAGATAGAATGCAAGAAAGCAGATAGAAGAGATGTTCCACGGTAGCAAAAGCCCAGTAAGCGTCTGGAAGGGGACCTTCCAAACTAAAAATGCATATCGGGTCTGATGAAGGCGCTATAGACATCACGTCACGGCAAACACCTCAAGTCTGTCGTTCTATAAGAGATCTGGGTCATTATTGCTACTGTCAGTAAGTACTACTCCTCCTCCCTTCCCACACTACTACCTCTCTACCCCTCTCTTTTCTCCCCACTCCCCGCTCTTTTCACTCTCGGCAGAGGCCTTCTTACCCACCCCGCCCTCCGGGCCATTGGACCTGACCATCTTAGGGAATAGGTTGGCACTCCAGAGTCCCCTGAATTCCTCCTCTTCCTTCCTCTTCCCTCCCCTCCCTCCCCTCTTCTTAACCAGTTTCTGCCCTAGAATCTCCTCCCGGAGGGCTCTACCCTCCCTTGCCAAAACGCGGTAGCACTCCCTGCCGTGCTTCTCATGTTCATGGTACCGCTTGCACCAGGCCTCCGGGTGTTTCTGCTCAATTTTCAGTGTGCGGCGCACACGAACGAGCCTCAAAGCCGTTTTCATGACCTCACGCATAAGACCCTGGTGCCAGCTGCCCAATCCCTCCTCCTCGAAGATCTCCTCCACCTCCCCTCCACAGAGTGCCATTGCATCCGCCCAGACCATTCGGGCGCCGCATTTCTCCATGGTGTGGGCGTAGAGTTCGTTGATGGCGTTGTTATTAAATTGCACGACCTTATGGTGGAGATATAGGTAGCCATTGTCGTTGGTCGGCTCTGGAATTGAAGCTCTTGCCTCATCGTTGGTGTGGTAGGGGAACTTGTTTTTCTTCCACATCTTACGGTTTTCGTCCGCATCTTTCTCCTGGAAGGTACGGATCCAGATGTCTGAGATGAGGTCACAAATGTTCCATTGTTTCTGGTGGTAAGCGTAGATATATAGTTGGAAGAGGTGTCGGGCGGTGAACATGAGGCTTTCCTGGGAAGTGGCGTTATAGTTCTCCTCGGCCTCCATCTGGGGCAGCTCGGTATGCGGAATTTCAGTATTAAGATAGTCGAAGATCTCGCGGATGTCCCACCCGATGTTACCAATGAAGCCTTGGGCAGATCGATCGTCAGTGGTGGGATCTAGTGCTGAACTAACCCGAGGTTGCTCGTATGTGTCATGGAACAGATGAGCGGCGAGAGGATCTGAATCAGACACGTCTTCAGTCACGGCAGACAAACAAACTGACTCTTGAGACTGAATACCAAAAATAGAAGTGGCCTTGTTTGGTTCTCGGTTGAATGAGCCAAGGTCAATCTCACTGGGATTTGGTTGCTGGGGTTCAATGGCTGGATCTGTTTGCTTTCTCTCCAGAGCCTGCTTCTTAGATGTCTTGCGTTGTTTTGATTTAGTTTTCGAGACCTTCTGCTTGGTGGGCTTCGGGTTACAAGAAATCACCCTATGAACACGAGGTTTGACTGGAGTCCTTTTCTTCATAGTGGTCTTATTCTTGGGGGCTTTGCCGGCTGCTTTTGAGGGAGATCCTTCACTTTTATCAGCGCCGTTGTTATTTGCATTCTTTGATGGCATGTTGTTGGCTTCGATGCGAAGTGTGCGTACTACAATGAGAGAAGGAGTCTGAGACTGTATGTAGCGAAATGGGCCGGGAAGTCTTTGACAAGGGGGTCGTGATGAAGGTTCGTAGTCAGTATTCGTTAGGGAGGCTGCTGAGGTTGCTGCGGGAGAGATTAGGCTGAGAGAAACGGCAAGAGAGAAGTCGGTGACAGACAGTAGCTGTTGAATTGGTTACTGAAGACCCCAGATATAAGGTTGCTACAGAGGAGAAGTTACAGACAGTTTAGGGTTTTTATCTGTGAGCGAAGAAAAAGTTCGCAGTATCGTTTTGAAAAAGAACAGTAACATAGTTTCTGGGAGCAGAGAAACTGTTTGGGTGGGTTTGGCGGTGCTGTGAATGTTTGCGGCGGTGACGCCGTGGCAACCTGAGTTCGTCACTGGGAGCATGTGGTGACAGTTGTAAGTACTGCTCGGTTAGTCTTCCTTGATCTATCTTAACATTCTATGAAAATAGTCCTACATCCTCTTTGATCCTTTCGGGGTGATACGGAATAGTAAATCAAATCCTGAGTGTAGGATGATTGTACAATAGCAAGAGAGGATGGGTTTGCGAGTTCTCCGTCGGGTGGCGGTAATTGCAGGAAGTTGACATGTCGAACCCGTAGAGAAAATTCACACTTCTAAAATGGCACCACCATGGCCTACCATATCACTGGAGCCGATAATCCAACCTTTATTGTATTGCACCTGATAGTCCAGCCCCGAGATGCTGTCGCCGTTCAACACGCCTTAGCATGGTCATTAGCTTTCATGATTGGAATAAAACTACCAGCTACCTCTGCTAAACAGAAGTCCTGGATCTCATGTGAACATCCCGCGACGGCACTGGAAACCTGGAGAAACACCCAGGAGTCTATGACGCTGTAAACATGATTCCGGCCTTCGTCTCGCCCATCCTCAAAATATCGAGCATTCCCCCTGTTACTAAATCGCAGCAGACCGCATGCGGGCTGCTCGTGCATTGGCAATTGCAGTTTGCTACAATTTGCTGCAATTTGCCGTCAGTTACTGCTAGTTGCTGTATTTTGCTGTATTTTGCTGTAGTTTGCTTTATGCCTTTCCTAACGCTACTAGCTAATCTCTAGCTAAACACCAGCTCATTTGCTAGCCCTGAGGGCCAGGGAGCGAAAAGTAGAAATATTGTTAAATTTAGTGAAGAAAAATGTGTCCTTACTACAGAACTAGGTTTTATACTGCTACACCTAGCTAGCTCAGGGGTAGCGTTATTAACAAGCTAGATAGAGCTTGCAACACAACTAATGTGTACTATTGTTTGCTGCACGTTTCTGTAATCTACTGCAGTTTATCGCAGTTTGCTACAATTTACTGCACTTTGCCGCAAGTTGCTGTAGTTTGCTTCATGTCTTTCCTAACGCTGCTAGCTAATCTCTGGCTAATACTTCTAGGCACCAGCGCATTATAGTTAAGCGCCAGTTGAAGAAGCGGAACTAGCGGTTGTGCTGGTAGTTATGCTAGCAAACAGTTAAGGTATCTGTAACAGCAGCAAGGAGATCCTTATCCTAGAGGTTATCATCTATAGGAGTAAGTAGGTGAATAGCTGTAAGCGGTGCGGGAGGCTGCGGTGGGTCATGGTAGAGTCTTTGCGGCGATAGAGAGGGGGAGGCAGACAAACAGCAAGGACAGCGACAGACCGTACATGCAATCTCTAAGAACTGCAGCAGGACTTCGTGGCAAGAAATAGCCAGCAACAAATAACTAGCAATGAAAAAAGTATATACCTACTGTAGAATAAAAACCGTACTTTAAAGTACTACAAACTAAACCTTTAAAAAGAAAACACTACTAATAACACCTTTAAGCAAGCAGTAGGTGTTATGATATCTTACCTTGACTGTCCTGTTGCTAGGTGTCTTCAGACGGTAACGGGGTCTTTAGGGAAGGGAGAGGTGTAGGATATAGGGACGAGATAGGAGAGTCGCGTGATACTTCTCTGACTTATGACAGTGCAAGGAGGGTGTACAGTCCTCCGTACGATCCAGCAGGAAGTTGGGCGAGGGAGGAGGTCGATAAAGAAAGAGTAAGGTAGAGAGGGTAAGATGACTAATTAGCTTTAGTCTCTCCGCAAATAGAAAAGAGTCTTCTGCACGCTTTGTGTTAGAAAGGATATTAGATATATTGCTATACCTAAGGCTGTGCCTTAAAGATAAGAATAACCACAACCTTCTAAACAGTGGAGGGAGGTTAAGACTATATAGTTGTGGTGGTCGCAGGTTCTTAGGAGTGATCGCAGTCTAAGCCAGCGACCACCCGCTAAGCCTTGCGACCACACTGTACCCGTGACCACGCTGGGCGCAGGTTTCTAAGGGTGGGTGGTTGTAGAACAACTCTGCGACCACCCGCCAAGCCTTGCGATCGCACTATACCTGCCCTGGAGCACCACGTGACCTCCGTGGGTCGTGCCCTACCGGCATCGGCCCGTCCTTCCTCCGTGGGGTTGGAGGCTCGGCATGTTCCTCTGGCCCAACCAGTGGTCGTAACTGTAACGGCACGAGCAAGACCACGGGTCCGAATGCGGTATGAATCCACTCAGAGGTATACGGGAGTGCGTGGGGACTCAGAAATCTGGGAATGCCATTGACACCTATAGGCCTTGTGCGAAGGATATCAGAAAACTACCGAGCTAGCTAAGGGGAGAGGTGCGACTAAATACTTGGGGGAATAGGGGTACAGCAGGGGGCAGGGCAGGGCCGGAGCAGATACGAGGAACCTTCGGATATAAGGTTCGCCAGGTAACTTTGAATGGAACGATTCAAGCGAATCGTTACAGTAACAGTAGGATATAAAGAATAGATAAAACAAAGTAATTTAAAGGCATTTATATAACTATAATGTTTACAAAAGGAAACTAGTGTTTTATTTATCAGTAAAGCTAGAAGAACTATTTGTAGAAGAATTAAACACTTAAATTATAAAGTTATATACTAGCTATGGAAATTACTAAACTATGTGGTACTCTAATGTAACGAACTGTAGTCACGTGAAAGGCACATCAACCCCGAGAATGCTAGCGTAAACAGCACGATTGATTTCACCTTCGCCAGCATAGCTAAGGATTATTTCTTGAAGTTCAGTTGGCAGTTTGTGCATGCGAGTAAAAAGCGGATATGCATCACTGTATATAGTGTTGAGGATCCAGAAAACAGTAGTTTGATATAGCGCACCGAATCTGTCACAAAAGCTACGTAATGGTGTGCATTCAATAGTGTTATGAGTTTTCTTGAAGATTTGGATATGGCGGATTGATGAAACGACATAGATAGTGTCCAGAACTGACTGCTGAGTGGGTATGTTTGCCCAACTACCTCCATAAAATGCTCTTGAACAAGCCTGTATGCTTGTTCAATATGCTCCGTGAAAAGTACTTGGGTGTTTCCGAGGCCGACTGTGGGCACAACTGGCGGTATGGGCCATATCCTCCAGCGTAGGAGGTTCGCCGGCTCACGAGGTTGAACCAGAGAACCGTCAAGCTTGATATTTAGCATTCCCATATATTTGACGCACTCATTCGGACCAATAACTTGCGTTTTAAAGTTAAGAGTGAAGCCGCTCTCGCTCTCGCTAGAAGCGAAGCCAGGAGCACGCCACTTGGAATCATAATCCGATACTAGTCAGTAAACCAGGTCAAACAATTGACCAGGAATAGCAGTTAGGGGGATCGAGGTATGTGATACTGTGGTATGAGAAGGTTTCCAGACTGGTAAGTCTACTGGTCTATATCGACGAGATGTACGGAAAAGCGTGGGCTGAGCCTGAGGGATGCAGAATAGGTGAATAGCATGAAACTCCAGTTGGTCGAGGAAGATGACGTGCTGATCGAAGTCCACAGTCCAGACAGAAGGTCTCTCCGCTCGAAAAGTCGATATAGAGCTAGGAATGGTAGGCCTAGTTTCTAAAGTATCCTGTTTAAATTCTTGGCATATTGAGCTAAGTAGCTCAGTACGAGCGGTGACTGCAGTTTGTCGTAAGAATATACTTTGGTCTTTCTTACGACGAATAGATGAGTACTCACTTTTAGTTAGCAGAGAAAGGCATGACGAAAGCATGAGCTTATCATAGCGAACATCACTATACCTGCCGATAATTTCTTGATAACCGTCATGAAGGACAACGCAAATGGTGTTAAATTGGGACAGCTCATAACCAGGTTCGAGGAATAATCTAGCGCTCGGCAGCGCGTCTACGACTAGCTCTATAACGAATGGTGCTTGAAATGAACGTGGCAATATGCACGGTGAGGCGCGAGCTTGCCGGGTGATGTTGGCGTTCACTTTGGTTACCCCCTGCAACGAGGCTGGAACTTCTAATTTTCCGAACAATATCAACAAAGTCTCAGCACACCCACCCCAGGCGCCAAAACTTGCACCAACACACGAAGTTGCACTTAATAGAGTCCCAACAATTACTACCAGTGTCACACTGCTAAGTGATACTTCATTGGCTCGTTTCACGATCTGATTGTCGAGTAACACACTTGTCTTGCTCGTCGCATAAGCGACAAACATCGTAATGACTACTATCCACCACTCGCCTCCGCCTGGCGTGACTCCATTTTCTATTTTCGAAGACTCTGAAGACCAGGGAACGTCATCGCCATCCGAGGTGTACGACGGCGATACGTCATTCAATTCAGAAACATTCCCTGGAGCCGACGAACCCATTGAGAGTATTGAGCACCAAGAACTCGTGTCATACCGCAGCTCGTACACTTCGCGCCCTTCGATTCTCTCAGCGGGGACATCGCGCCGCGCCAGTCTCATCTCGTCGCTGCCATCGGAACTCTCGATATCCTCCAAACCGATTCCACCCACTGGCCATGGCGTCAACTCACGGAACACGCCTCGGAAAGAACGACCGCTGTTCCGTAACTCGTCGTCGGTCCGTGCTATGCAGATGTCATCTCCGCCTCCCCTCGCGCACTTCGAAAGTCCGCGGGACCGACTGAAAGGAGTATACAAGCTTGCAACACCAAGCAAGAGTGGTAGATCTGAGACTCCCACCTCAGTATCGGGATCCCGAAGATCTGGTTCACAACGAGCAAGCATTCATAGGGACGCACAGAGTCCTAAGCCATCGCAAACACCCCAGCAGCACTATCCTCTCGTTTTGTTGCATATCACGATCCTTCCAATGCAGATACCCTACCCTTACAAGCTGATGATTAAGGTCATGCCCGACTGGCTGGTGGAAAACTACAAGCTTCTTGAGGAGAAGCTGAAAGACATTGTATTGATGCGGCGTGGGCTCCTGATACCCCATCCAAGAGAGGAGTACGATTTATTGGAAGAAAGAATACTGGAGAGTTTAGATTTAAAGACACCCCGGCTGCTGAAATGCGGTCACTTTATTGGACCTGGGGAGGGTGCAGAAGAGAAAGGAGACGAGGAGGAAGATAGAGGAAGTGTAATGGAGGGTAGGAGTGGGAGAGAGACCAGTATGAGTGGAGGCACTGTCACTGGCGATGATGAACCGGGATGGAAATACCCCACACCTGAATCAGACAATGCCAGCGTATGCATCGATTGTCACCGTCAGGTGAAGCGACCAGGAAATGGGATTGGCACAGGCACGAAAAGATGGGATCTCAAAATTTATGCAGCAAATGGGCTCATGCGGGCCGGAGCTTGGTCTGCAGCATGGAGCGAAATGGAGCGATGTGATGTCGAGATTTCACCTTGGATCCCTGAAGATATGAGGAAACTTTTAGAAAAGCAGGCTGAAGAGAGACAACGAGCAGAAAATGAGAAGCGGATGTACGAAGCTGAAGTCATGAGGCGTGTGGAGGAAGAAGCGGCTCGCATGAAGAAACTCGAGGCTGATGCAGAGGAGAAGAGACGAGTCGAAGAAGCCGAGCGACAGAAAAAGATTGAGGAGGAAGAGCTTTCACGACAAGGGACAATTGATAAAGAAGCAGCAGAGAAAAGGGAGCTCAACGAGACATTGAAGGAGAAGATTGAGGAAGTGAAGGAGTCGATTCGACTCGAATTCGAGGCTCAAATTCTTGCTGAGGCTAACGCAGTCTCTGAGAGGGTTCGTCTGCTGGAGGAGAAGCTTAAGAATGAGAGATCGAAACCCATAAATTTTGAACATCCCCTAGTCCACGAGCAACCTATCGTCCCTGAGAGAACTCATGGAACTGACCGCCACACCCAATTTAACTACCAATATCGAAGTCAGTCCCGAGGAAGACCTCGAGCTCCTTCACGTCGGCCTTCCTCCATGGACGACGTTCCTATTAGTACTCTTCTGAGAAATTACCTGGTGCTTCTCGCCCGGGACCGGCGGAACATAGTGATCGTCATCCTCAGTGCCTTCGTAGTGTTCCTTGCGATGCACGTGGGTCCAAGCCTAGCCGTACAAACCCTACCACCAATTATTCTTAGCACATTTCACGAGGACTATTCTCCAGATCCTATTTCTTCTATTGTTGCTACAACCACAGCTACCTTAACGGCAACTTCTATCATCTCGACCACGATCACACTCCGTGTTGAGGAGACACCTTCAGCAGCTGTTCTTCCCTCTGTGCAACTGGTGTCTTCAGAGGTAATATCCTTAGAAACGACACCGGTGGTTGAAAGCACACACATAACCGGGGAAATCGTAGAAGCCAGCCTATCGAGGTCGGAGCCAGCATCCAACAAACCATCCGCAACCACATCTGCCTCTCCAAACAGCGATATACCATCACGATCGCTGTCTGCTGCTTCCTTATCCTCAGCATTGTCGTCGCCACTCCAGTCCCTGTCAACGTCGACCATGTCTCCACATTCTCAATCTTTTATGGCTTCCCAATCCTCCTCAGCCTCATCTTCACCATCATGGACAGGGCCCTTGTCCATCCATGACGAACCCAAGTGTGAGCCTACGTCAGTCCCAAAAAAGCCACAGCCACCAGAGACGCCATCAGAACAGCCAATAGTATCAGAATCGGTGGTCCAGAGTAGCTCATGAAAGAACAATCCGTGGAACGCCCAATTTTCCCGACCCCGGACCTCTGGATAATCCTTCTCAGAAAATTCGAAACTACATTACCCATGACAAGGAGTTTATTGGGAACAAAAGCCGTCTACCTTACACCGTAAATTGTGTGTGTATCTGTGTGTGTGCTTTACCAGATATGAACAGTTGGTTTGGAAATTTCTTGTCTCGCCTAACCATCCTATTTAATGATGTCAACGCCCCCATCCCAATAACGACGGATTCACGACTATCGCATCACATAGATTGGCATGCCACGTTTTGCACAGCCTCGATACCTACATAGCTTCCTAGTCCACTGCATGCAGTACAGTATTGGATATTACAGTAAATAAATTGATTGTAATTAAGCGGCGGTTAGCGCTAGTTTCAGGAAGTGCCTTCACCTGCAGGCACACATGCTGACTGTTGGATGCGGGTGTGTTGTGTGTCCGTAAGCTTCGCCTGTGTTCTATTGACTGAAATCGACTAGCCTGAGAAAGGGCATTGGGCGAGAAAGGATGGCAGTTGATTGGTGATACTGCTGAGCTGACTGAGAGCGAAGGATTGATCATTCAACCTGTGCAGCTGGCTCGGTTAGTGGGAATATTAACGCGCGGTTTACACACCACACACACTACACCCCCATGGTACCACGGTCCATGCCACGCTACAACACAACGTAAAGATCCTCCAGGGGTGAACATAACGAAAATTCGCCTTACGATATGCTGTGCACACAGCCCTCCACCCACGCGTTCCCAATCCGGAATCCCAATTCCTCGGGCAGACAGACTAGGCACAACAGGCACGGTCCACAAGCGCCTTCCCGCGTAGGATTGTCATCCTATCCCTGGCAGCCCATCTGAATCCCTCAGATCCATTAGAGCAGAACAAAACAGAAACAGTGTAGGATCTGATCTCGGCAAACTAACCGACTAGGCATCAAGGACATGGTTCCGAGGGGAGGGGTCCATTCTCCCATTCGCCTCCATCTATCAATCTTAACTCAGCGTTAAGCTCGATCCTGCCCAGAAGCGTCCTTCAACGACGTGATAGGCCAAGACTAGGGTTATCGGGATTCGAGGGAATCTAGCCAGTCGTGGTGTCCGGATTCCTGGAAACGGAAACGTACCACGGTAGAGATCGATACGCGGGGTGTTTCGAGCACACAGCATACCATGCTTGGAGTCGGGGGACTAGGAGGCAATTCACTTCTGGCTGTTGTGCGATGTCTGTATTAGCCTTGTTATAGTTCTAGGTCGAGCTAGTGTGTAATGGGAGCAGGATGGAGGCAATGAGGTCATAGAGGAAGAGGCGGTGAGGGACGTAATGCAATGGAGTTAGGCAGGATTGAAGAGCTGGGACAAATTGTAGGCCTGAGGAGGTGGCAAGGTGGACTTTGGAAATGGCCTGCTAGATTTAGTCATCTCGCCTATGTCTTCGGGCTGTGAAAGGGTTAGGACGATTCAATTTGGGGTGAAGATTGATTGCGTTCAACCTAGTGCCTGGGGCAATGTGAGAGCCTACCCGCCGAGCCAGACCGCCACCATCGTTTTAGAGTTGCCTCATCCAATTCCAGAAGCCGTTTGCCCTCAACGCAATAGCTAGGAATGCCACAACATTGAGACGCAAACCATCTTAATCGATATCATCCCCAGTTGAACCCTGCTTCTTCCTCTCCTCCATTCTCTTCTTCGTCTTCCCCTTCGCCTCCTCCACCCACTTCTCGTACGCATCCCCACCCTGCGCCAACTTATCCTTAACCACCCCCTTCAATAGCTCTCCAACAAACCCAACAAAATTATGTCTCCGCAGTGAATTTTCCCACTGCCATTCTGTGCGCTTCTGTTCTTCGGCCTCCAATGCTTCCACATCTCCCATTTCCCGTGCACGAATGCGAAGATCTTGGACACATGCTAATAAATTGAATCGGATTTCCGTAGCGGGGTATCGCTCGATCCGTCGTTGGAGGACGGGAATGATTTTGTCGGGGAATTCGGAGACGGTGCAGGCACCATGGGAGATGGGTGCCGGCTGAAGGCCATCGAGTTCGTAGAGTTTGTTCTTTATGGAGGTGTAGCTGTGACTACGTTAGGGAATATATTGGCATAGGGAACCGGGGAATATGTACGCGATGAAATGATAGACATCGTCTTCCTCAGTTGCAGCTCGTTGTGTCTCGTCGATGAAGGGAGACGACTTGGCGAAGGAATTGTGGACTTCCCGGATAAGATCTGAATTTGATAGGGTTTCGCCTCGGAACTGGAAGTAGACTGATATCAGCTCTGTTCATCACAAAGTAATACGTCTGCAGAAGCAGGTGTGAAATGATATTCACCTCGGCAGGAAACTCTTTAGTGAATTCCTTGAACTCTCTCAGGTCTTTACCAATATCTACTTCCCCATCTTTATTTAAGAGTACCGACAATAGAGCCTGCGTTCCACAAGCGTTCTGTATAGTTTGTGCAGCGAAAAACAGCTCCTCTGCGGCGCTGAAGTCAAAGGCCCCATCCTGTGGCGTATCAGACCGTGTCTCCCCCGTCGGGTACTTGAAGAGGAATATAACGCCATATATCTGCCCCGCCTGCCTCAGCTCGTCGGGCTCAAGCGTCATTAGCTCTTCGAACTGGACATCTTTGACGCCAAGCTTCTCGATTAAGTAGGTGAAGACTCCCTGCGTCCATGCGATTAGCACCTGGGAGGAAGATCCAAGCCTAGAAGGAACTTACTGCATCACTCTCAATCGTGTTCCACCCTCCAGACATGGCTGTATGCGGCGGATTCGGGATATCGTGGAGTGTTTGTGAGGTCATGGAAAACTTAGCTACCTGAAGGGCCGGAGAACGTTGGTCCGAGCCACTTGGTCTGTGCGATCGGAACTTTTCCGATCGGAATATTCCATCTGTCTCCTTTCACAAATTCTGGGAATACGAGCATGATGCAAGATCTCGTTCCGCCGCGTGGTTGTGTGGAGAGATCTTGCATAAGGCTCAATCACATCTATAGAAGTGTTTCATGCTCAAGCCGTATATATGTGACCCAGGCTTGAGCGGCGAAAAGATTGGGGTCAAGGGCTGAAGACAGATAGGATGCACAAGTTGAGATAAACACGAGGTGATATGGTTGCATTCAAGAGTTGCTAGAATTGTTGGTAGGCTGGAACCTGCTTTGAATATGGCAGAAAATAATTTCGGATTTAGTATTAAAGTATCACATGAATGCCTCGGTCTTTTCGCAATGTTTTGCTTCGTTATCGTCGTCCCTGCATCTAATCAATCAAAATGTTTCACAGAGCCGCATTTGTAGAGTGAAAGCTATAGCTATCAGCTAAGAAATCTAAAGTCTAACCGGAGGTTTGTTTCTGCAACCCATGATTGTAACACTCTCCTACCCGCTACTCTATCAACACCACCGTTTTCGATTCTCTCAACCTCGGCAGCATTCACTTACACTTAGGTACCTACTTCTCGTCCCAACAACCCCTGCCCGACCAGGTCCCAAATCGTCCGTCTGGCGCAGAGTCCTTCCAGGGGATATCTTCCGAGACTCAGAGCTTCATGAAACCCCTGATCAAAACTGGCCATACGTGAGACCTCCCGAGTGAGGTAAGGATCGTCCTCATCATCGAAAGTAGAAGCCTGAAAGTCAGGGGAAAAAGCTGTATCAACGGATTGATCCAAGGGACTGGGGTGGCGGCAACGGCTCCCGAATATGAAAATCTGAATGAATCAGATCGTAGAAAGAACAAGCAGCCCCTTTAGGCAGTAATGTCAATCCATCGTCGCGATGACTGAGCAATAGTGTTGACCTCGCCTCGCGTTTGCTTTTGCACTTGCAACCAACCCAATAACCCAAACCAGCAAATCATTCCGAATGAACTCGGTCCTGACACACCTGATCCGCCCTCAAGGAACCTTTCCGCCTGACCCACTAAAGCTTTGACAAGGATAAGCGAGCTTCAGACTCTCGGACCATTCGGGAACCACAGGAGCTTAGCGAAATAGGCATCGGGCCGAAGACGAGCGAACAAATGCAAAGAAGACACCAAACAGTGAATCATCGCTCGCTCGCTCAGTTGCATGGCATGATGGTCGCGCTAGGTGCGCTAAGGGGAAAGAAAGACAAGGCATCGTGGGCCATGCCCACAACCTGGATTTCGCAGCTGTTGCGTGGCTTCCAGGAATGTCCCCAAACAAGGTGAGAATATCAGAGTCCAGATGGCGTGGTAAGCACTCCAAAATCGAACGGAGGTAAAAGCGAAAAATATGTTTCATATCGGAGTCTCCGATGCTGACCCAGGATCAACGCTGACATGTGCGAGAGAACAGACCCCAGGGTCTCAGGAATGTCAAACCTCCCAGTACCAAGGTTGCATGCCCTTAGTTCTGGATCAACCTGCGACAGAAGATACTACAGAGGAAAAGCTCTCCGTAAAGCCTGGAGGAACTAGGAGCAGGACGAGCAAAAACAAGTTCTCCCGTTTCTTGCCTTTTTTATCTCCTCTCTTACCCCAAAGACTTTAATTTCCACATAGGTTGCACAGCCATCTTTGATGATGCCTGCAGGCGAATTAACCCCACCCGCAACAGCTCACCGGTTTCCAGTCTTCACACGCAGATTGTGGCAGTGCAACCTACTTCAACTCCGACGTGTGAAATCAATCAGTCCCTGGAATGGCATGCAAGAGCGGGGGTGGCTCAGATCCTTCCGCATGCTAAGCTCGTTAGGAAAGGAATGCGACCACCGCACGTGATTCTAAATCACTTCTAATTTAGACTTAGCGTAACGACGACCAGTGGGCCTGGCGGACATCTCAGGTTAGCCGCACAACATCTGTGCGTGATTGGAGTGGAGTTGAGGAAGCTTATTTGGGAAACTTTAGCGTGGAAAATTGAGTTGAGCGACGAGATAACAATCTCGCTGGACGGGAAGTTTTAACGTTACCGACCGCCTGTCGCTCCTGGCTGGGTTCAGGGTCCTTGGAGGTCTTGAAGGTTGTGGAGGTGTCAGGAATGACGGTTTCGCTTTGCTACCGTACCCTGCCATGCTCTGCCAGTCATGTGCAGAACGAACAACGACAGCAGCAGGCAGGCATGCAGAGCGGTTGGAAAGGTACAGCAGATGTGTGACTGATAGAATTGAAAGGCCGGGGTGCGGAGCGAAGTCGGATAAAGCATTCTCTCGAAATGATAGGTTGGTATTTTCAGCACCTACGCGTGCGGCTATTGGAAGGCAAAATCCCGTCCGTTCGGCAGGGCAGGCAGACGAGACAACAAACGACTGACAGGGACCCGCACTCGAGAACTTAAAAGCCAGGGTGACATGCGAACCCGACAGGGGCCTGACCACGCCATTCCAGAAACAGATAACCTTAATTCGAAGAGCCAAATCCAAGTGTGTGTCCGTCCGCAGCACGGAGAGGCAGCTGGGGGAGGAAACTGTTCCAAACACTTGCACCTCTCAGTCCTGTTCCAAACGCCACGTTCCAGTTCCCAAAAACTGTGCCTCCGCACCAGACCTCCACCCGCTAGGACCCCAATCCATCCAAATTGACGACCCTATTTTTCAGCTCCGCTTCTAAAATTGAACCACTTGAGGTTGGAAAACGTGGAACATATCCAAAGGGGAACTGTATCTTTGGCAGGACGATGCGTGCATGTGCCCGCTTTTCGCTCTCTGTCTGTCTGTATTGAAAAGTATGCAAACTACCATACGCTGCAACGCTACCAAAAGCAGCCACCAGCGCCCAAACTATGCAATCATGAACGATGAATAAATTCCTTCATCCCTCGCCAGAAAATCCCTCCAATAACACTATACTGTGGCTGAAAAGGAAGGGCTCGCTGTGGTGCAATCGGTGCCGCCCAGTCATCCACTCCAACTCCGAAATAACCTTGCATAAAAATAAAACATGAGACCGTGTGGACAAGCCGCATCCAGTTTTCTTGGTATGTTTGAGAGGCTGCTGGGTTGCGTTTTGGTTGTGGATGCCTTGCTCCGGCTAATGCTCCAGCCGCATGGTGCAACCTGTCAAAAGTGGCTGCAGCAAGCCAACGACTGGAAAAAGCAAGGCCAAAAATATTCCTGTCCACAAACGTGTGGGAGAGCAGAGAGAAAAAGTGTGCTAACGGAAATGTGGACGAAGGGCGTCGCTCGGGGTCGAATCGGAATGCAAGAAGCGAATTGATATGGGTTATGGTCGTGATCTCGTGACGGTGGCGACGGAGCAAGTTAAGGGTGATCGCGTGTTCGAACGTTGCGTTTTGGGGATCGAGAGAGAGTGATATGATATCTGTTCACTTTCTGCACCAAGACCTTGTCCAAAGCAATGTAACATTTCGGAAATGGCGACTTTTATTGAAGCGTGTGAGGAACTCGGTTCTTTCTTTTTGTTCAGATACTGGTTGGAATCTGGCCGGCCTTGCCCTTGTCGACTACAGCGTTAGGTGATGGCTGAGGTGTCAATGTGTTGTTCCTGGATCGTTCAGCCTCATTTTCTCGTTACGTCCAGACTGTAGGAGTGGCCACGAACCCGCTGGGGTATCCCATAGGAGGCATACCAAAACTGAATACATTCTCTTCCGGCAATGTTACCGAATAAGGTGGTGGTACTGTTGCGGGTGACACCAGCGGGGATGCATAGCTACTCCCAACATACGTCTCGACCGTCGTGCGGGGTACCTCGAGGTAAGGTGATGTTTGTCCAGACACCAGACCGGTAGGCATAAAGTTCAGCGGCGACGGAGCAAAGGCCGGACTCAGGCTCTGGCTATAGCTGTACTGCGCTATTTGATTCTCAAGATCCAGGTTGACAGTCTCCAGACCATAAGGAGGTTGTTGAACAGGGGAGGCTTCTCCGGCTTGTTGTCGGGCCCACTCCCTTCGTGACTTGTATGAAGATGCAATGTCACTAGGGAACTGGATCAGATACGATACTGCTTGCGTCCGCTGGTCATATCTCTGGTCCTGGTAGCCCTGAACGATCGCAACAATCTCTTCCAACGGTTGGAGTGCAAGATTGGCGCAAAAGACGGACCCAATATCTCGGAACATAGGCTCTAGAGCCAGTGCGGTAGCGTAGAAGTGACCAAGAACAACCAAAACGGTCACATCACCTCGCTTCGCCGCGAGGAGAGAAATTGGTACCCAAAATAGCCATTTTCGGAGCGCGTAGAGCTGGCTGAACTGTTCTTCGGCGGTTTGTGGTGGGCCGGATGCTCTTAGGCGTTCTATGTAGCCTCGAAGCTGATCAACCCACTTGCCTTCCTGGTCATATCGACTGAGGTACGGCTGAAGTCGCTGTAAAGAGGCATGGATATCTGAGATGATGCCAAGATGCTCCCTTCGCGCATCTGGTGAGACGGGGGATCCAATCGGATTCATGAAGCTTTTGTTTGGCATCGGACTGTGCTCAGCGATGTACTCGGCGAACAAAGACTCATGTCGCCATGGCTGCATCGCTTGGATTACCTTCGAGGATATTAGTCAAGTATATTTCTGGGACCGCGTGATCAGACTTACAGTCTTTGTCCCTGTCACAAGAGACGCCCATCCCCGCCTGTCGGGCTCTCGTCAGTGCCCCGGTTCTCGGTCAATCGTGAAAACATGTTCTTACCAATCTGTAGCTTGCCATGCAAGCAGTAGAGAAGATGCAAGCACGGCATCTGAATTAGCTTTTGTGAAGTTGGCAATCCCTTCATGCAATCCCTTGAGTGCAACGCCGCCGTGGTGGAATGCGAGATTTCGCGTTTCGCTTGACTGTGATATCCACGCAAGGTGAGATGCAGAGAACGCGAGAATAGAGTGCATCACAAATGAATGTGTCGCGGCGATGCTTAGAAACCTGGAATTGTCAGATAAGCTCATCACAAAACAGCCGAATACGAATCGAAGGCCGACACCACGAAAGCTTACTTTGGCATCAGGTCTGTCCAGATGGTGAGTCTTGACGTCCTGTTCCTAAACATCTCGTTTGAGATTGAGGACAAGTGGTGGATCAAACGGAGGTCGGTCTTGGAGAAGGCTCGCCATTGCGGTTGCGGAAGCACTCTTAATTCGGGAAATGGGAACTCATTCGTCTGTCTCCAGAGCTCGATCGTTGCATCAATCTCAGGCGTCCAGAGAAGATTGGGTTGCTGCGGAGACTTGGGCGATTCTGGCACCATTGCAGTTGGACTGTCCATGTAGTCACACCGGACCTGATGTTTTGTGCAATTTCGACTGATCACGGGTCAGTGACTGGAATTCCCCGTTCACTTAATTCATTGTTTTGAACTCACCATTGCGGAAATGTCTCATCGCAACGAATGTGCCTCTTTTTGCAAGTCTTGCATCCCTTTCGGGACTTAGTATGGCTGCGCCTCGATGGGCCACCACCGGGTCCAGCCATTCGATAAGTTGGTAATTTAATCCCTTAAAGAACTGCGGGAGTAGAACGAGATAGTGTTGTTGAGCAGTAGTTGGAGCCGTCCCAGATGAATAGGGAAGTTTGAGGTTGGCGAGGGGTTGAGTAACTGCCGCCTGCAGATCTCTTGGGACGTTGACAAAGGGCAGATGGTTGGGATGTGAGAAACGATGACTAAAAGGGCGGAGTCGTTTCGAGCTGGAGTTGGATGTTTGATATTATATAGCGCAGCTGCACTTGAGGGAGATTACACTGTAGGGCTGAATGGATATTGGAATGCAGAAACTGTCAACCCCTTCCGGGAAACAGTCAGTGTGCGGAACGAGTGACAGGCGGGATTGTGGAAAAGAGTGTATGGAACGTCCCCCTGCAGGAATCTATGCAGGATTCGGACGAGGCTGTGAGTATAAAGGTTGGAGAGGGAGGGATATGGGCGGCATGGAAGCAAAGTGACTTGTGCTTCTGTGCAGTCGCAGACGTCAGGGAAGGGCCTGTGAAAGGCGTGTCATGGGGGTAGGTGCCCACAAATAGCAGCCCTGAAAAGGTGGAGGGAGGTGGACTGTGTGTGTGTGGCAGCCGGTAGACACGGCGAGATGGGAGGGAGCTAGCAGGGAGGAGCAGGCGTTGCGGGAGCTACAGCGATAGAGTGATTGATTCACATAGCAGGGCCATTTGGCTCTGGGCTCGTATGACATAGCCCCCGGTGTAACTCCCGTGGGGATCAAGCTCTTTCCAGGGCCATGGACCCTCCATTTCGAGCCTCGAGCACCTGCCCAGGCTCCAGCACAATGTCTCCCACCTGTCCCTTGCGAGTAAGGTGTCTCATCGGTTTTATTGACCGCGGGCAGAAGAGCGCCGGACGAAGCCAGGAAGGCCGGAAGCGCGAGTCCAGGGGTATCAGAGCTCACCTTTGTTCTTGTCGCCCTTCGGGGTCCAAGGAGAGTGGCCTTTCAATTTTGATGCAGACGCTGAGGGTCGGCATGGCAGAGAGCGGGAGGCCCCTCGACTGAGACCCCTGTCGGATGGACGTTTGGGCGTGCGGCATGCATGAGCCAGAGCCCATGAGCCGCCACAGCTTGCTGCATTCCGAGAGGGAGCGAAGGAGAGAAAGCCCCTAATTCGAGGGCCTGCATGCGAGCAGAAGTGGGTGGAGGCGTAAAACGGCTTGTTTAGTGACCCGACGCCGGCCGAGCGAACCACCAACACCACGGGCCGTGCGGACCACGATCGACCAGTCGCAGCAGCGGCGCCAGAGGAGGCAGAATTGTGTGATCATAAGATAGCGACTCCTCCCAGCACGCCCGAGTGACGCGATGCCACGCTCCGGTCAGCCTCAGGTCTCACATCTCAATACACAGTCACAGAGTTGTCGTGCCCAGGCTGCCTCATTGGGAGAGCCGCCCGCTGGAAGCACAAGAGTTGCAGCGCAAGCAATTCACCTTGATGAAGTCGCGTCCGGGGCCAGCAAATCATGGCTGCTCGCCGGACGGGTGCCGCGGACGATGCTGATGCGAGGCACAAGAGATCGCTAAAGGCTGGCGGGACCAGGGTTCAATATCTCTCACTGTGCCAAAAATAGGTCGCCCACTGCGCCCTCCGCTGCACTTGTCGCCAGTTAAAAGTCACCAGACAAGACAAAAGAGGCCCGTCCGCCTTTCTCGCCGTCCCTTTTGATTGCGCTCATCGCGACGAGTGCCCGAAGTGGTTTTATGTGACGATGTCGACGGCAGCGGTGGGTGACAATGGATAGCTGAAATAGCTGAAATAGCTGAAGAACCGCGTACCTTTGGCGGCTCGCGAAAACTGATAGACTTGCCAACGGACACCGCCAGCAGTGACGCTGAGCCTGGATAAATGGGCTGCTGAATGAACCAATAATCCCCCATCCGCCGCTACCTGCACCTATTGCAAATATCGTTGCAGGTAAAATTGGCCCTCTGGGCTGTTGCAGCAGAAGCGGTAATTTAGCGAAGCCGCCAGGGTGGACTGACCACAGTGTGCGTCCTGCTGCGTGCCTGCTGTGGTGCAGGACTCAAGGAGCCGCTGTTAGCTGTAGGAACCAGATGGTGATGGCAATTGTGCGACGATTGATGGATGCTTCTCGGTCCGCCGGCCGCTGTAAGGCTGACAATGACGACGTTTTGCTGCCAGGACGCGATGGGAACAGCAAAAGACACGAGGTACGAAGGTCGACGCCAAAGTGAGGCCAATGAGCAGCAGAACGGTGGCCGAGGCATCTTTTTCCAGGTGGCATCACGGCTGCGAGAAAGCAGGTGCAAGCGACAGAAATTTTGTATGTTATTAGCTGGTGGTTCGTCGGGCGCAATGAAGGGAGCCACGCAGGGACAGGCTTCGCGAATCACACCAGCGTGGAGGTGAGGTTAGGCCAAGATGCAAGCCTACTCTATAAATAGAGATAAACTCTTTTAAGCTTGAGACCAGTGCGAACGTAACACAAGGTGCCCTTGCTCGGTCTGGGGAGACCGGCCAGGGTCAGCACAAGCACCTCTCCCATTCTGCTCCGGATCTTGCTTCTGCTTACGGCGCCGCAAGATACAAGACCGCTGCCAAGCCGGCATCGCAGTGAATTGAACGTTGCCCACAATCACAACGCCCGTCTTCCTGCAAGCCACACGTTGTTCTGCAATAAAATCTCCAAACGAATAGCCCTAGCCCCACTTCGAAGCCAAAAAACTTACTTAAAATAAGAACCTAATCACAAGAATGCGGTTCCGACAGCATGGACAAATGGAACAGTGCCGCCAGGAAAGCAACAACAGGCGACCATTCCTCGACAGGCACCGAACAAACTTAGATGGCCGACCATCACCCAATCCTATATGACACATTGAGACCTGTCCCCGCGACCATTCCTCATGCCACATGCTCACGGGCCACGCGCTTGCCAAACCCCTCCGATCTTCTCCATTTCTTTGCCCAGCTGGCCAAGGGTCGAAAGACAGTAGAAGCGTCTTGGCCAGGGCTCGCTCCATGAAACGAGGCGGCTCTGTGGTTGAAATTAGCAACAGTTAGTGATATGGCTACGACCGTCCTGGTAACTCTTTCCTTCTTCACGGTATCATCTCCACCATGATCAACAGTGCTGCACGCTTGAAGCACCACGGTCATGGGTGAATTGTCGGACTCTGCTTCCTCACGAGCCGCTGCACACCTCCATTTCTCAATACCCGCCATGCTATGGGGCCATCACGCAACGACCCCCGCAGATGCCTATTCGACATCGATCCTGGACGAGCTGAGTGGACGTTCCCAGGTTGGTGGGCAGATTGCCGTTGTATTTATAGGATGCCCTTGTCCTCCTCGTGGTCTGGAACATGGTTAAACAGTGCCAACGCCTGCAAACCGGCCGTCACCCCGGGACGCTGGCACTGCGCTTCGGGTTGCCGACTCAACCCGAAAACCCCCCGGCTTTACTCAACCCCTCTTATCAATAAATGTGGGAAAACGTGCAGTAAATTAAACACTGAACCGCTGCGGAGGCTTGCTTGCCGCTGCGACATCCTAGTCCCAAAAAAGCCATTGCGTTGCCGAACGTCTTGAAGCTCCCTCTGCATATGCACCCGAACCCCGCCCAGCGTACGCGAAGAAGTAATAACGGGGGAACATCATGTCCGTTTGGAGATGAGAGCTATCTACTGCTATGGATGTTTGTGTGCGAGCTACAGAAACGCCTAGAAATGTCGATGAAGAAACGCTTCGCAATAACCAAGTCCGAGAGAGAAGGATACGTCCCGAAGGGGACTCCGCCGAATGTGACTCGCTGAAATGTCTATAGATGCCAGAAACCTGCCCTCACCCTACATGCTCAGTTGCGCACCCTCACTAACAAGTTCCCGTTACCTTAACCGGGGACCGAAGACTCATATACCCGTCCCTCATTTCATCGCATGGTAGCCATAGCCACCGGCAAACCCAACGCCTGCCACTCCAAGCGAAAGAATAGAAACGTGTTCAGACACCGTACAGATCGCGGAAATTTGCCAGATGCTGAGGCGGTAGATTCTGAAGAAAGGGTTCGAAGTTGTCGCCGATCATGCTCTTGTACTGCTGGATAACCTGTTGACCATTTTAGTTACTTCCCCAGAGGGCATTGAGAATTAGTATACTCACTAGCTGAAACGTCGGGCGGAATTTTTGTTCGTCGGGTCCCGTCACAAGGTTCCGGTCTGCCTGAGACATCTCGTTGAAGAATTCCAGGAGACTTTCCTCCATCGCCGATGGGTTTGCGAGGATAACCTGCATAAACCCAGTAAGAGCATGCCCCTTTTCGTCGGTCCACATCACGTTTTTCATTGCTTTCAAGAACGGAGGAGCGATTTGGGCGAGATGAGGTGCAAGATATTGAGCACAACCCATCCCAAGTCTCCCAAGAGCGATAGCTGCGTTTTCGTTCAGGGATTCCGGTACCCGTTCATCGAAGAGAATCGTTGCCAGTTTCTGGAGCAACCTCTCCACGTAGGGTTGCATGCCTTCCCCGTGCCTCATCGCGATCTCCCCCACAGACCAGCAGGCGTTGTTGATAACGGAATAGCCCGTCTCTTCACCATCGAGAAGTACTTGGTTGAGCTCTAGCTGCTTGATTAGCACCTCCAGGATTCCCGGGAGATTCGGGCCTAGTTGATCGAAGACATAAATGGCACAGTCTCCAAGAAGGGCGTATGCAGATTGTCGTACGTCGTTGTTGACGTCTAGCATGCAGAATTGTAGCAAGGGGAAAAACTTGTACTGCGGGCTTGCAACTAAGGCAGCACTTTCCCTCATATCGAGAGCTTGGATAATCGCACTGAGTAGATCAAGGCTGGTAACCAAGAAGTCTTTGTCAGGGGTTTCCACGGTACTATCATTTCGCGCGAGCTGAGAAGCCTCCAGGTTTCCGTGAATGATGGATATACATCTTAGGAAAATAGCCTGCGCATACTGGCTGAAGAATTGGCCGAGGGCGGTGGCGACATAGGACAGGCATTCAAGCAAGGGAAACATTTCCCTTGATTCATTTGCGACCTTGTTCCAGCGTGCAATAAGGGCGGGCATAAGGATCTGCACTAAATCTTGTCTCTGAAGTGCTGACCCAACATGCTCGGCAAGCGTCTGAACGCAGTCGTATAGAATGAACATGTTCCGATCTTTGTATTTTATGAAGCACTCAACGAATTGGCGCACGATAACAGGGCAGTATGCCTTGAGTTCGGTATTGGCTTTCTCCTCCAGGTTTGCGAAAGCGGAGGCTGCCGCCTCTTGGACACGCTTGTTGTTGTCAAGCATTCGCTTCAGGATGCCATCCATCATAGGCACAAAATGCTCCTGTTTGCCTGCTGCATCCAGGTGTGAGGCCCATCCAGAGTACCGGCCAAGGGACCAACACGTGATTTGGCGTACAACAGGTTCAGGGTCCTGGAGAAGCGTGATGAGGTACCTGGTGAGCATCGGGAGGTGAGGCTCTACTTCAGCCATACATCCATCGGCAATGGCACCAAGAGCGAGAACAGCTGCTTCTCTCTTGGGCCATTCCGCATGGCTGAGATTCTCCTCCAGGTACGGTAGGGTTACGGTAAATACTGGCCCATGGAAGACCGACGCCAGCACATCGAGCGCTGCTGCTGAACATTTCCGCAAATTCCATTGTTCTTCGGGGTTGTCAATAGAATCGTCGTCTTCAAAGTCGTCGATTTCTCCATCGCTCAGATCATCCTCTTCGTACCCACCTCTAGAGGACCCAGCTGCACCATTGCCGCTCAAATTATTCTCCCCGTTTGTGTTAGTGGTGAGCCGTCCGGCTTTGCTTGTGGCAAACGCCGGCTTAATGTCTTCCTCTCGGTCCTCCAACTCCGCGTCCTCTTTCTCTCCTTCTAACCTGAATATGTCGTCTTCGCTGTAGACCATGCTCTCCAGCAAGACAGGTACGACTTTCGGAAGGTACGGCCCGAGGCACTCTCGCATCTTCTCGTCTTCGCCAACGCATAACCAGAACTCGGCCGCGTCAAGAGCAAGTTCGGCATTATCAGTGTTGCGCTGCTGTGTTACCATGTAGTCCACCAAACCGGCCATGTGAGGTACGATTTTTGGGGGAGCGACGTCGGTGATATGAACAAAGGAGCGGCAGACGTGTTTCCGGACATCATCGCTCGGGTCTCCAGCGAGCCGGAAGAGTTGCTGCAGCAAGGCATCCAGGTTCGACGAGACTGCCGGGGGAGATTCTGGAATGAAGAGATTGATGCTGGCAAGTGCATCAGAGCGCACCTTGGCAATGGGGCTTGCGGTAAACTCGAGGAGCTTGGGGAATATAAAGCTCAACGGTCGCTGGCCGTTGTGGTCTTTGTCCAGGGCACGCTTATTGTCTTCGCAGATCTTCAGCAAGGCACCCATAGCACCTTGCTGGGTTTGGGGTGGCACATTCCCATTCGCATTGCTGATAAGGGCGATGAGCTCGGAGAAGACCTGGGGCCAGTTCATGATGCCGCCTTGTCGCACGAGCTCGGTGATGACGTTCCCTGCATAGTTCCGAATCTGGGAGCTTGGATCCTGGAGCCCAACAAGAATTATGGATCTGATATAGGATATGTCTGAGTCAGGCATGGTTTTGAATGAAGCTTTAATGTCATTTTTGAGCATGATGGCTGCGGAAGCCCTCGCTAGCTGGTATCCTTCGGGGTCCATGTTGACCACGGGAGGAGGCTGGCTATTTGAGAAGACATAGGCAAGATACTTGTCGATGTCAGGCGAGGCCTTTGCTTGCTTGAGCATCTACACCGAACAGAGGTCAGCGCACGGCCTCGCGACAAAAACTGTGGCGGGGTAGAGGGTTGACGGACAATTTCGGCATTCTTCTGCAGGGCATGGTCGTGCCCACTCAACGAGTCCTTCAGATACTGGGCCAGCTGCCTCAGGGGCTCCTCTTGCGGCTGCCACGCCATGTTGGATTGCGGGAGAAGGATTGATGCGGGGAAGGACGAGCGGGACGAGGTGCCCACGGGGATGTTTTTCTGGCAGGAGGCGGTCGCGGAGAGCCACAGACAGCGCCAGAAGGGCTACAAGTAGCGAGGAAGGCGTGCCCGTGAGATGGCGTGCACTGGATTTGCTGGTTCGCTTCATTGTTAGTCTGGGGGGCAGCCAGAGCCTCGATAGGAGGAATTGGTGATGGCGAAGGTTACGTACCAGCTCGGGTAGTCGGTCCACGTCCTACAAGGCCAGAGTCATTTTGCCCCCAGGCCTAGTGACAGGAGCTCTGGCGTCTGGATTTTTTTGCGTGGGCTGCACCCAGGCCGTTTGCTCAGCAGAGGGAACCTGCCAATGACGCGGGCGGCGGCTAGGTGCAGGAGGGTATCACGGCCCTGAGCCCAGCTGTCCGTTCGCGGGGCACGAAGAGACGTCGCTGAAACTGCAGTGCAACAAGCGGGAGGGTTGGTGAAGAGGGTTGCGGCGAAGGGCGTCGTCGCTGGACGCTGGTGAGCGGCGGCGTTGATACTGGGCCTGGCCGGTCGTCTTTGGCGGTGGAATTATAATGGGCAAGTGCGATGCCGTTCACGGGCCGAAAGTCAGTGCACGCAGACTCGGCTAGTCCACCTTCTCCATCACCACTCCCATTGTGGGCTCTCCCATCTCTTGATGGGCTCTCACGGCCGTCGATTGGTGCGCTCACGCCGCTCTGTATTGCCTCCGTCACTCCGTTACTGTAGGGCTTGGCCATTACACACCCCTCACGTGTCTTCAAGGCCTGTATTCAAGCCAGGTTGCACCACACCAGCAGCCTGTCACAGCGCTCTAAACGAATGTCATCCTTCCACCGTCGCTTCCAGAAGCATGCACAACTTGATTGAAGTATCCTTTCCTTTCATCTCGTCGTTTATCTTCTTTCCAAGCTCTGGTGACCAGAGACTCCTAGTCACCAGCACAACCGGCTCCCAGTCTCTCACCATGCATTGAGACTTACTGCTGCGCCAGTGGGAGGTGCAACAGTGGACGCTCCAGAGGGCCATTCCCAGAGTTTCTTGTTTGAGAAGGTCTTCATCTTCCTACCTCGTCTAGAAATTTCGCCTTCCCAATGTGCAATGCAGACAGGTACATAGGGAATGTTGGCCCGATCTCGCTCGGCATTCTTCCAGGTCCACAATCTATCTTCGGGACGATAAAATGAATCCGGTAACCGCTCTCCTCCCCTCATCGTACGAGATGTCGGTAATTCGGAGTTCCGTGTGGGTCATATTGCTTCCTGCGGCGTAGGGGAGGTAGTCGACGCTTCCCTCACCACTCATTGCTTACTTTCGACTGCCCCCTATCTTCCCAGGCCCCGAGACACGACTGCACACCTGGCAGATCAGACTCTGTATTCTTCCATCCTAACCAAGCAACTGATGATAAACAGCAAAGGACCACTGCTACAGTCAATATACCTCCTTCACCAATCCATGTCCAGACTCGGGGTCTCGCATTTCGTGCTGCACGACATCTGTAGGACAATTCACTTGATGCGGCCCAAGCAAGCTTGGGCCTGATTCTCCCACAGTCAGTGCCAGGAAGACCAATACCTCTACACTCCTGAGATTGCAAGACCTCTCTGAGTCCATATCAGTGCTTGGGGGACCCATTCGCCCTACTCAACACGAATACTCTGCTATATTACCCATTGCTGATTCGAAATACCTAGAATACTAACAAAGCCAGAAATTTCAACTTCTGGCCTTTCATCCTCTCCAGTTTCACGTTTCATCCGCAGCCTTCAATCGAAGGTAAAATCACCAATTAGACCAGAGGACCCACCGGCGTCTCGTCATTGATTGTTTTCGTTCGGCTGGGGCTATAATTCAGTAAGGTTGTAGTCATTACGATTGAAAGGCTATTAGGCCAATCCGCGGAAGGGAGACAAATCACACAACTTTGATGCTCAGCAATACTACCAGTTTAAGGTTCGTTTAAACACTGAGGCAACCCTGCTAACGCGCCTTTCGGAACCAGGAAACTTAACTCAGGGTAAATAAATGGAATATGTGATACAAAGCTGTTGAGGACTAGTCAGCATTTCAGCCTGAAGAGTGGTGGGGGAATTGCATCTGCGTTTTATGAAGCGGATTGGGTTTAGAGTTTTTACATGCTAGAATATCCAATATTTTCAGTTCTTATCGCATGCGTAGAAACGTACGGCCGGTATGTTTATGTTACACCTTCCACGGTGTGGGTGCGGTAGGACGATAAACTGAACAAGGTCCATAGCCCTTCAATTTCCGTGATCCAGTCTTCTCGTTTGCGGCTAGCGAACACACTCTGCTTAACCAGGAACCTATTAGGCGCAGAATCTGTAGTCCCATCAGTCGGCGTGCATAAATTTCATACGTCATCTCCAGATTGCTGTAGAACTTTAACTGGGCCGATGCGGCGTCTATAGCGACTAGGTCACAAGGATACGCGTACTTGTGCCTCCATGGCGTGGGTAGAGAAGCGATATCCTTTTTGGGAGATCCCTAGCGTGGTCAAGAGAAAAGGGCGAAGTGCCTTGGAGCAACTTTCTAGAAGAGTTGCGTGTCAATTCCTTTATCAAACTTTCCCCAGCTCCCCCGACGATGCCTGGAGTGGTTTTATTGAAGTGCACTCTCTTTAGCTGTGGTTATACCCTGGAGGTGCATGCTTTTCCCGTATTTCTGCTTAGCTAGGTTGGGCTTCCAGGTCCTGGAAGCCGATTTACTAGAGGAGAAGCTCTCGAAAAGGAGTTCTGATGAAATCAATGGGAGAAAATTAACGACCAGCCTCTCTCTTCAGGAATACCCTTTAAGGAGATAGATATGTCCATAACCACCACCTGACGACCAGAGCTTCTCAATAATGCGTCAGAACTTAGTTCAGATACAGACTCCATGAATAAAGGACTAGGTATTTACAGTAGAAACGCAGACAGCCACCACTTAAGACTACCAATACTATGTCAATCTGAATAGCACGATCACACCAGTACTCAACATTATATACGCAATTCCCTTCACACCTTCGAGCGACACTCCCCGGGTTTCGTCACCCTACTCCCCTGGGTAAACTTACCTGGCGTATCACCCCAAGGTTCTGCGCTCTCTATTGTATTCTTCAGCCACCCAACTAACATTTCGGTATAGTCTTTGTTACCAGCCTATTGTAAATACTAAAGTCACCATAGCCAAGCCAACGACTACCGAATCCCAGGGGAGTATTCCGTATAAGACGCGCGACTTGACGCGACGCCGGGATCTCTGCAATCGTCCGTCCTATTATCACTGGAAGATGTGAGTGAACAACTCAAGGAATTGACTAGCTGAAGCTAAGAAATAAAAAGAGGGTTCTCACCCTAGCAGACAAAGTTGTCCTAAGACTTAGTATGACTGCACTTATCATCCAAGTGCTGTAGCATATCAATACACGTTCTCTCGCGCGGAGGGACCGTTGCCGTTCCAGACTACGTTTGTGCTATCTGCTTCGCATACCCAAGAATCGCGCTATAGCATATGTCGCAAAACACTGCTTTACATTTATCATTACCATACCCTGTCAGCTCTTTATTCTTGCTCATAGCTAAACCAATCAAACACCCCGTATATGGCAAAATCTAGTGACTCCAAGTCATCATCTGAAGCTGGGGAATTAATCCAGTTGCAATCCATCGCGACTGCTATTTCCACTTGCGTTTCTTGTGTGTTGAAGTCTAGCTGTGAGCGTCCAGTTTCGAGAGGGAACCCCTAGAGATTAGAATTCTAGGATGGTAATGTTTTGAGTAGTATTTACGTGGGAGAAGGCTTCCCGTTCGCTGTCGTAGCAGTGCTCTGTGGAGTTGGAGGTTGTGTTGCGGAGGAGGAGCTGGGAGTGTGCGAGATATGGGTGAGAGATAAGGGTAAGAGAGAGGAGTATGTAAGGAAGAATGTCTGCTAATTCTAGCCACTCACTAAAGTTGCGAACCTGTGTATCTCTCCGGGATATTTTCAAAAGCGAAAAAGACATAACGAGGAGGACCTGATTGGCTTATACTGCTTCGTATACACCGCTCCTAATGCCATGCCACATCTCGAGTGACTACGCCCAGCTGCACGGCATCTTCACCCATGATGAGTCTCTCTTGGTTGCTAAGACCGTAGGATTCCTCAGATTTTGGACGACTTACCTCTCCCAGGCTAACCAAGTGCTTCGTAGGTGTAGAAATGATCTTAGCTATTTTAACTCTGGATTGAACGGGCTTTTGATCCGAACTCGAAGCTTCGTGTATTTATTATGACGTTTGGTGCAAAGTCTGGCTTTGCGGATCGGTCAGGAGGGTTTGACGTCAATGGCGGGATGGATGGTAGGGCTGAATACGAAAAGGCGAGCAAGAATGTACGCCTTAAATGGTTGCTGGATGTGTGGCATCTACCATAGAAAATTAGCATGGGTATACAATTCACAACCATTCGCAACATCGACACCACGCAGGCTTCTAGAATATCTAAGTACGTTTCCAGGAACACCAGGCAAGAGAATTCAATCTATGAATAGAATCGCAGCGCCTGCCATGGCGGCTCTGCCCAACGAAGCGCCTCAGCCTACTGGCGAAAGCCCATCTAATGTTTCACGTTGGAACAACACTGGGTGGAGCGGACTGCACACAGGAGCCTTTGTTTCTATCGCACATTTCTGGGAAGGAGTAGCGGAGGGAGAAATATTGAACAGGTTTTTGGAGCTGCGAGATGTTTGATGAAGGATTTCCAGTATCTAGGGGAAGGTTGAGGAGTGCAAAGAAAACTGCGGAATTCGGGCTTGGGTGCTCTCCGGGAGAGCCAAGACGGCTGCATTAGTGAATTAGGTCGTTCGATATCATGCCCATTCTACAAAAGCCCGGCGAGAATTCGCGACTGATGAATTCGACCTTTTGATGCGGTGCAAATCCGGTGGCAAACGTGCCGCTTTTGCCTTCTTGGCATCCGGCTGCGTCTTCTCAAACACTTGCTGCACGCATCAACTTCTCAGCTGTCTCATTTGTAACCAACCCGCAACCCCCATCAACACCGCTCCTCCTAGATTCCAACATCTCCCTCACCCATTTTATCCTCCTTCTTCCCCGTCCGACCGCCATCGCGACTTATTGCAGCCGGCATCGACATTCAGATAGCCCGGTCAGCAACTGTCGTACGTCACTGGCCTCTTGGCCCCCGCTGGATTCGCGCATCGCCCAGGGCACGGCGCACCGAAACCACAACACGAGCGCCGCTCCGCCCACTGGCACGCCTGTCCTCGACTATACAGTCACCCGTCCGGCCCTTCACGGCGACGGACGACACATACCACGCCCTCACCATGCTATCGCAGGACGGCCCACGGGCACGATCGTCGCCAACTACTCTTACCAAGTCGTATCTGCCGACCGATCATGCTCCTTCCGCACCGCCCACCATCGTCCTCGAAACCACTCAAGGCACCCAGCGCACCTTCAACGAGCCCGTGCGGATAGTCCAGTACAACAACATTGGCTCCACAGCCAAGGGCATAATGATCGGCATCTTCTCCGTGCTGGCAGCTGCGGGATTTGTCCTTATCCTCGCTGCTATAGTCTACTACTTCCGATATACACAGCAGGGCCGCATTTTCTTGGACCGGTTAACACGGCCAGGCGAGTATGACGATGAGCAGCAGTTTGCAAAGGAGGAGGCTGAGGCGCTGGAGGAAATGGATGACATTCAGCGGATGGAGTATTTGAGAGCAAAAGGTATGACAACAACTTCTTTGCATTTTTCTTGGTGATTGTCGCACATAGTGATAGAGAACGCAGACTAACTCCCACCAGCTTTTATCCAGGCCAACCCACCCGAATCCGTGCAAACCGACATCTCCTTAGGACAGTTCTTGGCAATTCAGGAGAAGGGCGTCTCGGCGTGGGAATTCGAACCGGAGCTGGAGATCGCGAACTGTTTTGTGGAAGGGCGGACAGAGATTGAGTTTTTTGACTCCGAATGCAGCGTACAAAGTAATTTGCCTATACCGAAGCAGAATGAGGTGTATTATTGGGAAGCAAAGATCTACGATAAGCCGGACACCACAAATATCTCCATTGGCGTAACGACAAAGCCGTATCCGCTGTTTCGGCTACCAGGTATGTCTTCATATGCTTTCATGCGATTTTCACGCGATTGGGCATCTGACTAACATGTTGAAGGATATCATCGGTGGTCCATAGCGTACATGTCTTACGGATCCCGCCGGTATAACCAACCCTTCACGCCCACCCCCTACGGTCCCGCATATGTTCAAGGAGATGTTATTGGCGTCGGATATCGGCCGCGTACTGGTACATTGTTCTTCACTCGGAACGGCAAGAAGCTGGATGATGTCGCTCATGGCCTGAAAACTCAGAACTTCTTCCCTACCGTTGGTGCGAATGGACCTTGTCAAGTACACGTCAATTTCGGCCAGATGGGGTTTGTGTTTATTGAAGCAAATGTGAAGAAGTGGGGTCTCGCACCGATGACTGGAAGTTTGGCACCTCCACCTCCATATGGCAGCGAACAAGGATCGATTCTTTTGGAAGGCGGCCGAGAAGGTGTGCGCGAGGGAATGGGATATATCGCCTCCGGGTATGGCCACGCAAGAAGTAGCAGCCAGCAGATGCGTCTTGGACGGAACCAGCCCACAAGCCCCGGCCCGCAGCGAAGTCCGACAGATATCTCTCTCGCCCAGCTAAGCCTCGTTGATTCGCATGAAGAAGATATTGGCGAAGGTACCAGCGCAGAAACAGGAGCAGTAGCCGCAGCCGCTCAACATCATGCCGGAGTTCACGGCCTTGGACTTCACCCTAGCGACGCTCCACCTGAATACACCAGTCCCCAGCCGTCACCTAATGTTAGCAGAAGAGGCAGCGACGAAGACAGCCAGTGGGAAGAACGCGCGCTCCTCCTCAACCACCCCGAACCGGACCCACCCATTCCTAGCTACGACGCTGCAGTTGCACAAGGACCGCAAATCAGAGTCCGCAGTGATACCCAAAATTCGCGCTCCTCAAGACGAGGCTGATCATGAGTTGTTCGATCTGTCTGTCCGTTACATCCATCGCATTGTGATTTTCCTTTCATCTCTCAACACTCTCACCTGGTCTTCTTTATCACGGATTGAAATATACCCCCATCTCTCATCTCTCATATTCATCATCGTCATCATCTCATTTGTTACGGGGAACGAATCGGGTCGATGCCTTCCTAACGAAGGCTTTTATGGGTAGGGTATGCTTAGTTGAGTGGCATCCGTACGTTGAGTGATAGCGCTTTAGGCTTTGTTTGTCTGTTTAGGCGGGCGTTAAACCGAGCATCCGGCCGGACTTGGAATCTTGCTAGTGCTTGCTTTGGAATGGGATTATATCTGTATAGTGGTTGTTCCACGGCTCAGTGACTGGGCTGGAAGCCTAGAATTGGATATACGGATCGAATGCAATGGACTGGGCTGGGCTAGGCTGGGCTAGAGAGTTTTGTTCCGTGCAGAGTTAAACTCAAATGATACACATATTCTTATCCAGGTTTAAAGATTGATGTTTTTTGTTCTGTGACTGGAATAGTGTTACAACTCTGCCTGCCCGACCCCTGAACCTGCACAACCGCTGATACTTCACCGCCCTGTCGCTCATCGTAGCTACCTGCTTGCATACCCACCCAGACTTCACACTCCAGTATCGAATACCTATCATGCATCTATGTCTCGACCGATAAATTACGAATACCGGCACTAGATCCACCGGCTCTGTACTCAAAGATCGTCGCGGAAACTTGATCTAGTCTCGTACAACACGAACACAGTTGGGCGTCGTGTGCATCCAGCTCAAAATCCATTGATGGAGGGCAGCGGATTGAGCGAGGTGGGAGACGGGATGGGTTGCTTAATTGAAGCAGCTGTGTGTTTGAGGGATGAGGGGGAAAGGGGTTGTTATTTCTTGGTTTGATAGTGTTGGGAATTGGGAGGTTGCAAAGGCATTGTGAACAGCGGGGATTGTTGAAGTAGCAAAAGATAGAAATTGAGGATTAGTCATCAAGGCCTAGGCGGATTTTAGATTAACGCATTGCACCAGTCATCCGCTCACACTAAAAACTACAAAAATCGCAACTTAAAAATTTAACAACAGCTTAAAAGAAGGCTTTATAATTTTTACTAGTTATACTTAAGTACTTTTAATGTATATAAACCTTAGCACGCTAATATGTAACGTACACCACAGGCGAGTTGCTTATACACCTAAGTTACTGTTACGTTACCTGCTTAGTGGGTAAGCCGCCGTAGGTTGGCTAGCTACCGTTCAGCACGCGGGCCGGGGAGGTTGCTGGATGACGAGGATAGATAGGACAACTTGTGTGCACAGGTGTACAGTCCGTGGCACAGGTTACGTAGGAATAGAAGGGTTGGCCAAACGTGGTTTGCCTTCTTCTGCTAGTATAGGAGCAGCGGAAACAATCTTAGGGAGAGATGGTAAGAGAGTATATATATAAGAATATATTATAGTATAGCGCTATTAGAAGCTACTACACTACTTAGTCTATTATAAAGGAAAGACTAAATGTTAATCACACCCTTCTAGTAATAGTTAAGATTAAGACTATATACATAGTATTTGCCTGCTCTCCCTGTCTTGCCTGTCTTACCTGCACCTGCAGGCACCTTAGGCAAGCTTGCTAAACCTGCTTCTTCTAACCTAGCGCGTTCTAGTAGAGTCACGTAACTTTTCTTCTGCGCGTCTAAGAAAAAGTTCTACTAATAGTTATTATAAAGGCTAGTGGCATTCTAGCACTTGCTTATAGTTGTTACAATCTTTACTTCAGAGGAATGGTGTCCGAAGTACACGGGGCCTGAGAGATGGTTAAGGTTTTAGGGGGGGGGGGGGGGGAAGGAACTTAGGCTGTCTACGGGTGTACAGTCCGCTAAGCTAAGCTGTAGTTACAGGGTAGAGAGAAGTAGGCTAACTATAGTTTACCCTTTAACAGCAGTATAAAGTGCTTAGGTTAAACGGTTCTTATAGAACAAGATAAAGGTATATATAGTGTAAGATATGTAATTAGTATTGCTCTTATTAAAAAGCAGCAATGCTACTTAGTGTTACGGTCTTAACTCCGGAGAAATGGTTTCCGAAGAGCTCTAGGCCTATGGAGGATGGTTAGGTGAACGGAGGGGAGAGAACTTAGCCTTATCGGGTGTACAGTCCGGTAGGGCGCAGTTACTAGGACTAGGAGGGGCGGCTAACTGTAGTTTGCCCTACAACAGCGGTATAAGGCGCTTAAGTTAAATAGTTCCTTTAGTAGAACAAAAAAGAAGGTATATATAGTGTAAAATATATAATTAGATTACTTCTTATTAAAAAGTAGTAATGCTACTTAGTTTATGTAAAGAATAAACTAACTATTAATTACAGCTTTCTAAATAAAGTTAGGATTCTAAACTATATACATAGGTTTGTATGCAAACGTTCCTTGCTTATTAGATAATACACTCTGCCACGCATTAGTCTAAGAGCTTAGTCTATTCCTTGTCTGTTAAGTTACATAACTTATTAGAGAAGGAATTAAAGACTTTCTATCCTTAATTATTTAAATAGTAGGGCACAGCTAACTAGATGCTTACAGTCTAATTATAGGCTGTAACATGCAAAGTCCTCTCTTTATTAGCGTTCTTACTGTTCTGCTTATACTATTATAAGTGTTAGAATTTTCTTTTATTTAGTAGGTGCTCTTTTATAAATGCTTTCTGTACATTTATTTTCTTTAACTATGCCTTACTAGTGTTTGCGTCCTTCTAGTCTTGCGCGCTGCTTGCGCACTATTGCTTGTCTTAATCTACTTTACTATACAAAAATGTAACTATGTAGTTCTTACTGCTTAAGTAGAACTCTTTATGTCCTAACCTTATTATTAAACAAGTGCGTAGAGTGTGTAAAAAAAAAAGTAGGCATTACAACATCTTTATTTCTAACACTGTGTAGGATTGTTTTAAAAAAGAGCATAAAAGGCTTCTTAAAGAAGTAAAAAATACTTATTTTAAAAAAAAGAAAAAAAAGTGTTATTTAAAAAAGTAAAGTGTTATTTAAGTAAGTAGTAATCTGTTAACGCTTAATACGCTTAGGCTTAAAAACAACTTAATTTATTAAAAGATTAAAAGATAAAGTATCTAGAAAAAAAATTTTATCTTTAAATAAGATTAAAGCACTTAAGGTAAAAGCAGTAGGCCTTTCTTCTTCTTAGCCTGTGTCTAAGAGTTGTAGACTTTCTACATTACAGCTAACTAGTGTTGCTATAGAGGCTTTAGCTAACAATAGTGTTTTTTAGTCTAGAGAGCTTTCTCTAGGCTAGTTCTAGTTAGAAGGGACACTTAATAATTTTAAAAAAGCTATAGAGCATTTATTAGGTTTTTAATAAGCTTTTACATGCTTTTACTAGTAAAGTATTTTTTTATTTTTCTAAAATTTTTTCTATTTCTAGTGTTAAGTATTTATTTAACTTTATATTTAACTTTTATGTCTTACTAGCTAATTTTAAAGAGTAGTATCTTTATTAGTGTTTTTTTAAGTTTTAAAATATAAAACTATAAGTGTTGAATAGACTCTCTGCTAGCTAGCACTTAGTGTCAGCAAATGCGTACAAGACGGAGAGGTTTGCACGGTGTAAACATCGCACGGGGGTGTTAGGTAACTAGTGTTAATTGCTTCTTGTTGTTTTCTATTGTACAAAGGAAAGGGGTTAATATAGTCCTAAACTCTGCGTACAGATCTCTGTGCACAGGGATCTAGGCGCATCTAAGCCACGTGACTATTAACTAGGCGCCTAAATATTACTATTTAGACATTAGTAACTTTTTCTTTTTTCTTTGTACAGGACTTACCTTGTTTACACATACAGTAGACAGGTTGCTATAGGGCTCTTTTTGCCTATTTTATATAAGCTTAAGTCTGTTAACTAACACTTTAACTCTAATAGTTAGTTAGTTATATAAAATTAGTTTTTTAAGAGTAGAGTTTAGCACCTTCTTTATACAGGCATTTATAGAGTTGTTCTTTTTATTAATCTACTTAATCTTTATAATCTTTTTTTTTATATAATTCTTAAATTAATATAATATTAATTATAAGTTTCTTTTTATTTGTTGTCCTAAGCTTTATAAGACATTTATATAGAAATCTTAAATCTGTGCATAGTATAATAGGTATAGAAAGTATTCTAAGCATACATGTAATTTAGTTAATAGTTGTACTTAGTGCAATTACGCAGTTAAATCCTTCTACTATTCTGTACAGCTTACTAGCTAAGATAAAGTAGGTAACACATTTACACTTAAAAAAGTTCTAGTATATAATATTATTTATAATTTTAAAGTTATATAAGTTTTTAGTTTACTACTTAGTCTTAAAAATAATAAAAAAGCTAAGCTATAAACTTAAGTCTTTATTATTTATAAATAATTTATTAGTAAAGATAAACAACTTTATATAAAAAAAATTAAGTAGTATATATAATAATCCTCTATTCTAGTTATTAATTTACTATTAGATTTGTACATTTAATGCCTTAATATTATTATACAACAGTAACACAACTTAAGCAGCAGTAGACAGGTTAAATGCTGCCTTAGGTTAACATACTAATGTAATATAAGCACCTCGCGCGCGCTATTTAACGTACTTCTGCGCGGCATTCTCTACCTTAGACTCTATTATGTGTAGATTCTTAGCTTAACTTTTTTATATAAAAATAATATTATTTTATATAAAGTAGATCTTTTCTTTATTAAATTTAATAGCCTAATTATATAATAGTATAGTTTTAAGCTTTGCTTAGAAGTTAGCTTTAAGCAATTTTTTTTTCTTTTTATGCAAAATTAGCTGTAATAATACTAAGAGTATTATCTATTTATAGTCCTATAATACTAAACACTGTTAAGCCTTTATATGTAATTAATAAGCATAGATTATATAATAAGGTTTTTATAAAAAGTTTATTTTTATAATAGTTATAGTATGTTTTAAACTAATATAAGCCTAACTCTACTGCGCTGTATAGTAGTTATACAACTTTAAATATTATGTGTAGAGAAAAGCTTTTATAGAGTTTTTTTAGTAGTTATGTAAAAAGAGTGCAAACAAGCTTGTCTATTAATTATATATATACTTAAGTAATATTATGTAGTTTACAGTGCATATTGTACAAAGCTATTAGTAATAAGCTAATAGCTAGAATTAACCTCTAACTTATTTTTTAAATTATAAAAGACTATATAAGAATTTTCTTCTTCTTTTTATTTAAATATTTTATAAACATAAGTTGTAACTTTTTATATAGTTTTATTAATTTCTCTTTAACTTTATGTATAAGTTAAAGGTTAAAAATCTATCCTTTATAAATTAATAAATTATATAAAAGTACTTTAAATATACTACTTATAATTAAACTTTTTATTTCTGTATAGTCTAATTCTTTAAATAGTCTCTTAGGTGTTGTAATTATACTATTTACATAGAGCTTAATTAC